TTGAATAAAAACCAGCAAAGGCAATTATTATGAAAATTTGTAATAATTTATGTTTTCTTGGATGTAATTAATATTTATTTCGGTAACAAATATTTAGTCCCGATGAGAGTCCGAAAATAAAACTTTCATCCAACTATTACGTCAGATGGGACAATTCCCTAGCATCTCTTAATTATGACACTGCGTATTTCGTATTACAATAATGAACCGAAACAATAATAAAAAGTTTCGACGTCGCGGAGCGGCCAATGGACAACTTTACCACTGCTCAACTGAGTGCTTACTACTAATGAAAACTTGCTTGTTATCATAACAATAAAACATAATTTTATATCATACGAAACAAAAGAAAAATGCCTGTATAATAAATTATATTAAATATAAATCGGTTATTATTTAAGCCAAGTTATTTCCTTCTTCTTCATAAGTCCACTGCTGACTATTATCCTCTCCCGTTCTATGGAGGTTTGGACTAAGTCAGACAAAGGCAGTCGGATTGACGTTTGCAGCTCCAGATCACATGTGTAAATATCTCTCATCTGTCCCGAGTCAGTCTCGCTTCTTTAACGCTGCCGCCCGTCACACATATTTGTACTATATATACGTCAATGATAAAGGAAATGGTTATACCGCCGTCTTTTGGTAGACATAATATTTTTATGGAATTAAAAAAACATTCACCATAGTTGCCTCTTACAAGTTACGGCAACACACGGGTCGAAATTGTTTGATGAATTCTCTAGCAACAAAATAATAATAATCTTGAGATACTTACATAACATAATTGAAACTAAACGCGGTAAGTAATTTTTAAACTGTCGGAAAAAAACTCTACACCAACCAAGTTGTTGGCAACATTGAAAAATGTATCGTCATTTTCGACATCACCAAGCCGATACCTAGAGTTGAATAACGTCCGTTATCGACGCCTACAATAAGTCGCGTTTTATACGGTTATTATAGCATCATAAACGCCACCGGCCGGTGTTTCATACAGTGCCGGGGCATATTATACTGCCTGTGGCCCCGATACTAGGATTGTTGGGGGCCAAACGGGGGTCCGACAGGAGCGCGGGGACACCGCCCACTGTCAGCGCCACGTGCCGCCCGACAGATGTGTCGAGATATCCGATATCGGGAGACACATTCATAATCTTTGTCTCAACCTCTCACTTCTTATATTAAAATAACGAATACCAACATCACAGGTGCGAACTGAATTTAAATGAAATTGAGATAAAATTCCATAATTCTCCTCATCAGAATTCTAAGCCGCTAAAATGAAAAACAGCCATAGATTATTAATCTAATATGAATCGTGCTAACTTTGCTTTTTAAACTCTTTTTTTTTTCTTTTTTTGCCTAGTTTAACTGTTTAGTGATATATGAGTAAAAAAACAGGCAACAAACAAGTCGATGGATCTAATTTGGTCAAAGCCGTACTTTTTTTAGGACGCGTCATTCCAGGAGTAGACTACTCCTGGTCTATTATTATGATAATGATGATGATAATAATAACTCTATATCTCTATAATAGACAAAATTCACAGTTGTCAGTGATCACGCATAGGTAACCAACAAAGGAGGATCTGCCGGGCGAGCAAGCAATCCGCTAAAACTTTATCAAACCCAAATACCATAGACTAGTGCTAAGGAGCTATGTGATCGGCTCTGAGCTTAACTTGTTCCGCATTATGAGTGTGTGGACATATCTATCAAACGCGCCATTTGATCCATTCTTAATAGGTATGTCATCAATAGTGCATGCAATAGATTAAGTAGACAGACAGAAAGAGACTTATAAATCTTTTAAAATATTTAACACGCTTTGATACGCTTTTATACGTGGTAGAGACATGCTGCAGCTATTAGTAGTATAGTTGTAGCACGAATGGGTCGGCTCGACCGGGGAAGGACGAAGCTCTCACAGAATACCAACGTGAAATAACAGCTTAACGCTGCTGTGTTTCGTATGGTGAGTGTAGAGAACCGGAGACCCTTTTTACTTGTAACGAGGCATTCCATCTTAGTCCTCACGGGTGACAACGCATCTGCATTTTGATTCGTAATCGAAGATAGATGTACATGTCTATGGGCCACAGTAACCACTTACCATCAGGTGGATTGTGTGCTCGTTTGTCACCCTTATCCTATAAAAAAAAGATCATGAGCTGTGATGATCCTTTAATAATTCATTAATATAAAAAAATATAAATAAGGCCGTATTCATGAAATTATTGTCCAAGCGACCTATTATCCTAATAAAAAAACTGCAAACTCCAATGGTCGTGGGTTCAAATCTGCAATTCGTGTACTAACTACACTACTGTCGTGAAGTACTCCTAGCACAAACTCTTTAAGCTCAACAGGTTAAAGGCAATATTAGAAATGTTAATAGAGTTGCTAATATTTAAAAAATTAAAATAAATTGTATTGTTGAATCCAAACTGTATTATAAAACTCTATTACATTCATAGATACATAGATACGTAGATATATTTCCAAGCTATTAAGATAATGTTGAAATGAGTTTATATTAATAATTAAAATGATAACAATATAACTTCATAAAGAATACTTGTTAAAAAAAAGGAAAATATTTTCGTAGATAAAATTGGAAGTAGAAATAATTATGTTTACAAAATCCTTTTCTTACTCACGGATTATTTATCTTAGCCATTGTAACGAGAATAACGCAGACGAATTTCCCGAAAACGTCCCATTTATTTAGAGTGAACATACAAAGGGAACGTGAAACCCAAAACTTTTTACGTGGTCAGTGACAATGGAATTTCTCTCTGTTCTCTTAACATTTTGTTTCTAACTTCTGCGGGTATTATATTTATATACTTTTGAGAAGATAAAGAGTGTTCTAACAAAACATCAATGTGTAAAATGTAAATATGGTCCATTTGGACGTTTTTTTTTTTAAATTGCTCTCATTCATATATTTTATTTTTATATATTCAGGTAGACCTATTATATAATATTACTTTACAATCACGATTGTTTTACATTTTGTACATTTTCAAACCACACTAAGAATTAATAATAAAATAAACTTTTATAAATAAATTTATGAAGTTTTGAAATTGAAATTATTTTAAACCCTAAATAAGAACATACATAATATTGTCTATCACTCAGCCCATAACAAGACTAATGCTGAACGTCGGCCTCTCCCATAGATTACGGTCCATTAAGTACAGTCCTGAGCCAACTGCACCCATCGACTACCTGCGTGTTTCACCAGGTCGTGGGTTCCAGTGGGGCGTCGCCCAACGCTACGCTTTCCAGTACAAGAATGCCTCTCGAGAACCTTTCTTCCCTAACAGTTGTCGGTTCTTTGCGCGATATATTTTTTGATATACTAAACTGACGTCTCGTAGCAGCATAAGGTTTACGTCTAACTAACAGTGCTCATAAAATTTCTGACATTGTAGTTGAACATTCCAAATAAGGGTGTACACGCGGTAGTCGAACGGCTGGTTTTGCGACACAACTTTGAGGTTCCTAGTCCGCATCATACTGTCGCTTAATGTAATAACACATCTAGCAGTAGCGCTTACAAACACTAGATCAATTAGGTAGTCATCCATCAATCCATTACAGCCAATAAAGTAAAGTCCACTACTGATATGTGATCATAGGCCTCCTGCCTGATTGCCTCTGGAAGGTTCGCCAGCGCAGTTTTTTCAAGAATATCAATGAAGCAGTCAAGTGATAAATTTATTGTTCAGCAGTGGACTATAATAGGCTGTAACGGTAAAGTTGACTACTTTACCGTTACAGCCTATTATAGTCCACTGCTGAGCATAGGTCTCCTCCCTTGGACTGCTTCAATGGGGGAAATTAGCCGTAGTTGTCACGCTTGGCAATCGGATTGGCAACTGGTTATTAGGAAGACCCTGCTACTCATATCCTGATTTGTTCCCCTCTGTCGACTCTCACGACATCCACGTAACGATATGGGATATGGGATAGTGGATATTCTTACACTACACGGTAAATCGTTATTTGTCTGCAATTGTGTATTGTAAAATGTCTGCAAAATTTCAGATTATTCAGACCTCTGGAAGTAGGTGAAAACTGCATAAAATTTTACTACAATAATAAATTCATTCATTCATACAAACTTACCAACACACATAGAAGTAAAATTATTAAAAAGAGTGTATAAAAAAACTGTTATTGTACCTTAGAATTTTTTTTTTGTTTAAGATGCCAACCTTGAAAGTAAACAGACTAAAAATAGCAAGCAATATCGATCAGTATTAAAAATATGTAAATTTATTATTTGTGATTTGAACATAATTTCATGACTGCCCTGCCCTCACTACAGGTCGCTTTACCTGTATAGTCAAAGTTGATTGGCACTCCTTTTGAAATTAACTTTAAACAAATTGGCTTTAATTAAAACAAAATCAAAGATAGACATGCTAACGAGGTAACTTTGTGAAGTTACCGATGGAATTTTTGAAATTTACCGTATAATAGAAGGTTTTAAATGAACGTAAAAAAAAAACTTAGCTAAATTATTTTTTCGTCTGAGATTTTTAACGTCGTTCTCTTTTCTCTTCCGCAGTGCGGAAAGGACTGGTCTTTTTTCTTTATTGCTCCACGTTCTAGCGTCACTCAGCATTAATCGCTATAGGCAGGGCGAATCGATAAAAACAAACTTTTATCGAAGTATCTTTGTTAAATTTAGTATCTTTGTTAAATTTTATTTAACGGCACGAGATTTGATTTGGACGTTCATCATCATCATCATTACAGCCCATCAATAAGTCCACTGCTGAACATAGGCTTCCCCCAACGTACGCCACGCCACAAAGCATGATCCTGAGCCACCTGTATATACATCAACATTTCGCAACTTTTACTAGGTAACTCCATCTAACATAGTCATCTTTCCTTCCTTTTATACTTCGTTTACGCAGGGAATCTCCGAGCATAGCTAATTTGGACATTAACTACATATATGTATTTTATTGTTTCAGGTTTTGGCTTCGTCACATTTCAAAGTGAAGATATAGTGGACAAAGTGTGCGAAATTCATTTTCACGAAATCAACAACAAAATGGTAAGTTTTAATATCTTTACTTTCATTTGTGCGTTACAAGAAAAAAAATATTTTTCTGTAATTACAGTTTAAATTTAATATAACAAAGAGAAAAAATATTTTACCTTACATAAAACTTAAAGAATTGACATAATAATATCGTAATTATATTTAAATTCGAAGGCATCAAGTATCTATAATTCAAGGATTACATAATACTTAATCCCTTTAAAAATAGACTAGAACTACTGCTTACTCCTATGGAGATAAACGTTATCCCAAAGATTTAAATTTAAATATTTAGCCACTTATTCTTCCTCTCTAGCCTCTAGTCCACAACATTTCACTGCTGGGCATCATACATACGCATACGTCCGCTTTCCTTCGCCGGCCTAGTTATGTTACATCTGCCATATATTGAGATGGTGTACCGCCGTTAATGCGGTCTTTGCCCTCTATCTCATTCTCGCCTCTTCCGACACCCTCAAGATGAAATCGGGTGATGAATAAGATATTACACAACCCTATTTCGCAGCCGACGCAATCTACGTCACAGAAGTGATACACAATAGTCCACAGATGGACACAGGCATCTCCCACTATAAATACGATTTGCTTAAATCGCTACGCTTTGCAGATAGATAGGTGGGGATACAAGAGGTCTAGCAAATTTGACGCTGCTTTTTTCGCCAGTCGGGTAAACGAGATCATCATACCGAAATCTAACTAAAAATCTTTATGGGATACCTATGGTCAACTCTGTAACACACATGGGGCAAAATGGGGTGACGGATTCTCTTAAACTGCCACCACAGGGCAAAAATTAATATTAGAATGAAAGAATAAAGCTATATTTATTTAGGGTTCAAGAACAAATATAATATTGGAACAATGATTAACAAATCTCCAATGAACATCTCAATCTTCATGTCCACATTGTCGGTCAGACTTCAATTAGATATTGGCGGTGGTCCAAGTAGAGTCAATAAAAAAAGCCGATAATGTTCACTTTTACTGTGTTTAGATTTTCCCCCGCCACGCCGTCAAGAATTGTTATTTTTCTATTTGTGCCATTAACTAAGAATTACAAGACACCATAAAAGCGTTTTTTTTTTTTAAATAATTTATCATTGCAGAAGATTAATTAGTAGAAATATGTATAAAATAGAATTAATATACAGAGTATAAACCGTTAAACCTCACAGTGATACAAACCCAAAGATGATCCTGCTAGATCGATGCCAAAATCATTTTACCATAAAATAAAAAGTAAATTTTGAAATAAAAATTACAGTGAGGGTCCTAACCTTGTGCGCAATTATTGATTCCGTCTAACGTGTACTTTGAACTATGTAGGTAGTGTCTGTGTGGGTTCTGTAGGATTGACTTTTTATTTATTTGTTTGCTCCAAAATTATTGGAGTACACACATTATTTTACGTATTGGAAAAGTAAAGTATAACTTTCCTAAGCCCCATTGCTAGTTTCAGTCTGTCTCTCTTTTTTAGAGGGTTTTGGAACAGAATTTAGTCCGTCGTAACACCTCTTTTAATTTTTTTTTACATATATAATTAAATATGTAAGGTTCATATACACACTTTTATTAGTAATAAATCAAAAAAATATAGCAGCACGCATATAATAAAAAAGTATTTTTCAACGTGTTACAAAACTGTAAAAATTTTAGGACACCTAAACTTATTGCTAACATCCACGCAGCTTTCAATTGCACCAATAAAAGTAATTATGGCATTATTACTACGGCAATAAAATGAGATACGATACAAAGTTAGTAATTAACTAACTTTGTATCGTATTGCAATCTGGGTTAATTAACTTAAAGTAGAAAACACCTCTTTATATCAGTGACTTAAGCACAATAATGTTAACTTTATAAAAAAATAGCGGCCCGCCTCAGCTTCGCCTAGGTGGGATCAATTAATATGGCGTCATTTAGATATTTTTTAAATAATCACCATTAATTATAGCAATTATTTTTCTGATAACATATACCCTGAGCTCGATATTTAGAAGTTACTTCGATATTACAGACAGATAATTCAATTTAATTTATATTTAATTTAAGGTGAAGGTTTATTTATTCATTGTTATAAATATAGGACAACTCCCAGTTTCTCTAATCTTATGAGTCGCTTTAAACTTTTTTTTTAATAATTAAGAGTTACCTAGAAGAAGTTTTTTGAGATTATTTGATCACAATGATGCCAATCACTTGCTACAGTGATATCACTGAATGTTAGATGCTTAACGCTGTGACATAATTTTTTCTATTGTTATAAGGTTGACAAAAAAATAAAATAAAATTACAGCCTTTATACGTCTCACTCCTGGACGCAGGCCTCCTTTCATTTCTGAGAGTTTTTTAAGGCAAGGAAGTAACCACCGTGCTGCCCCAATGCGTGTTGGCGGGCTTCATATGTCTTAATATTTCTTTATATAAAACTCAATACTTTTTTAATTTCTCAGACATGCAGGTTTCCTCACGATGTTTTCCTTCACCGAGCACGTGGTAAATCAACACAAAAAAAAATTACAATCAACAATTTCATTGGTGCCGACGGTGTTTGAACTCGCTTTGCTTGCCTACTATGGAACTTACATTAATTAATAATTAAACGTCTTGTGATTTGTAAAATATTCAACCTTTCTGATAGTTACGTAGCTGCACATTATCATTGTTTCTTGAAGATCCCGCCAACATTATCTTTTAGTCTCGTGGAAATGAACAGGTACCGGATGCCACCCTTCGTTGTCGATGCATATTCTTGATTATTAATGCCCGTTTTTTGTCTCGCCCCATTGTCTCGGCGCCATAATGGCTCTACGAATCTCGCTGCATGTGTCAGATGGAAGAAATCGCGAGGGGTGATATTCGCCCTAAGTGGAGCAAACAACGAACAAAGACATCAAACAAATGGGTAGTGTTTTAGAGTAATTACTGTTCGCTTCCGTGCGGAACGAGAGGTGTGCATAGAGCGTTCGTGGCCCCTCGGAGCTTGCGTCACGTAATGTATCGCCATACTTCCTCTGATAAACCTATCTAACACAACATCTGGCTTGACAATTTTTAATATCGTTTTGTTTACTATTGTGCCCTTAGCAAAAACAGGAAAAATTCTCATTTTAAAAAAAATATTAGAACGCATGGTGTATGCAAATTACATACCCTTACATAATTTAATATAATAATGAATTATATAAGAATGTTCGAATCTCTTGAATTTTAGGTCACGGGTTTGAATTGTAACACGTAATAAGTGTTTGTATGGACTTCAAATGGTTATTCAGGTTCTGAATGTTTGTCTGTGTACAATTTATCCATGTAAAACCTTTTTCTCATCTATGTAAGCCTTCACGAAAATTTAAGAAAAAAATGTACGTAATAATATGTGAACTGTAGACAGCTTCTTAAAAACTTTCTATTTCGTTAAATCAAACGTAAACTTGAAATTGCATAATGGGAAAAAACAAGCATTCCTTTAGTACAGAATTTAACGCCATAGTGACTGCCTTCGTAAATTTAATATCTCATCTCCTATATTAAAATGGTCGTTAAGCTAATAGCTGCTCCGCCTTCTCGCATGAAAGTGATAGGGTGATACCGTAGCTTACTTTGAATAACAAAAACCCCTTAATTCTCTTCCATAAAAAGGAGACGTGGAATATCGGGAAAGATTTAAAGCGAATGATTATACCTTACACTTATGTAAGAAAATAAAATTTTGAGAAAATGAAAATCATGCAACCTATATGGCGGCACTGCACCTATAAAGTTCCGTTGCTGTTGCGATGTTGATGGGTGACGGTTCCTTTCCCCTTTTTACAAAAAAACGTTATCAACAAAATTCCTCGAATTGCACTTCGTTACGCGCTTACGCTTTTCAGACATAATTGCTTTTGCTTACTATGAATTTTAACGACAAAAATAAAATGACGTCAGGCAAAACGTGTGAAGCAAAGTGTAGGTTAACTTTTACCTATTTTGAATTGATCTACTTTCGGATTTAAGCAGCCGGGAATGTGACTCTTTTACTAAATACGAAACCTGTGATAAACGATTAACTATATTTAACTGTAAACGATATAAATAAAAACATAACAAATTGTATTTTTTTTAATTTAGTTTCTATAAACAATATGTTGATATATAAATTGAATTACTTATATTTTTTACTAAATACTAACGACTACATATTGTGCCAACCAATTTCCCATCTGGAATATTTAATATTGAAGTCTAATAAAGTTGAATACTCATCACGATCTATATGCTTGATCTTATTTAAATTTCCTTATTAATTATTTCATGATATAATGTTCTTCATTTCAATGAAAACCTTAATATCTAATAATGTATTTATAAATCGATTGACGATGATTGTCATTTAATATTATAACATAAATAATATAACAATTTAAAGCAATGAAGTAAAACACATAAACACTTCAGTAAAAGCATTTGGATTGCGCGTTCATTCTCTTCGATCGCACACGAGGCAAACAAATGGTTTCCGTTTAGGAAATAACACTAAAAGTAGGCACATTTGAAACTGGCACTTAAATCTTCAGATCCTCAATCGCCATCTCTCCTTCTTCGTCTTAAATAGCTAGTATAGGTTGCTAACGGATCCTTTTCTTTATTGCCGTTAGGGACTGTTCTACAAAGATATAAATATTGAACAGAATCGCTAAAAAGCTACCTGCTACTGTAGGTGTTCACACTAATCTTCAGTAACAGTTTTTCCGTCGTTTTGCTACAAATATGCAAATTTATTAACATAAAAATCAATTTTAATTTTCGTATTAAAACCAAACCTACTATATTTGAAGTACGCTTGTGATTTCTTTAAAACTAAAAGCGTGCTTTCTACTGTAAGATTATATTTTACTTTAACTAGAATCTCGTCGATTACGTTTGAGTATGTTTCGAGTACTTTCGCTTCTATCTTCTGATACAGAAGAGACGAGGGCTAAGCCAAACAATCAATCACGCGTTCCTTC